TAGAGATAGTGGAAGGGAGGGAGGAGAGAGAGAGAGAGAGAGGAGAAAGAGAAACATTGATGTGAGAGAGACACATCAATTGGTTGCCTTCTGCACAGGCCTGGAACAGGGACAGGGACTGAACTGCAACCCAAGTACTTGCCCTTAACTGGGAATTGAACCTGTGACCCTTCAGTGTGTAGATGCTCTAACCACTAAGAAACACAGATTTGAGTAAGGTAATTATAATGCATTTCAGCAGGTAGGGTAACATCAAATGGTCTAATTTTGGAAAGAATTAAGAAAACCCCTTTCTTCTAAGATAGCAAAGAAGGGCTCTTGAAAATATACAGCTTGGGATGAAGGGAAGGAAAATTGTGAAGGAAAGTTGTGAGTTGCACGTGATGGTCTTTATTTCAGCATTCTGCACACATATAAGAGAAATAATTACTTATACTGATCCAACTCCGGAAGTTCTCTTTGACAAATAAATGGATACATTTCTATTCAAAATAAAAGCATCGTGGAAATGAAAGGAGAAGCCATATAATTATAATCAATATAAGCAACCAATTGAAGTGTCTCTCTCACATCAATGTTTCTCTTTCTCCTCTCTCTTAAAATGTAACTTTAATGCCATCTAATGCATATAAATATGAATATTATTTTCCCCTTCAATTGAAATCAAATGGAGAAAGTCCCCCTAAATGCAATCCTTTTCTAGTAAGTATATATTTATCTATTTTCTTTTTAAAATTAAAATGAACAGAGGACGCACTAATAAATAGTATTTAAGATATCTGAATAAAAAGATGCATATTTACCTTTTAACTCTTAAAACTCAAATCCAGCAGGTGGCAGTAAGTTTTTATCCACAATCACAGTTCATGAAGACTTTAACATTTGTAAAAATCCTAAAACTATAGCCTTTTAAAGGTGGCTGGCTGTCATTCCAGCCCCAGCCATTTTTAAAGCGCGCGCGCGCACACACACACACACACACACACACACACACACACACTTCTGGCAAGTACTCCTGCCTGTGTACACAGGTCAGTACTACTTCCTTATGATTCTTCATTTATATATTCTGATTTAAGTAGGGCATAAGTAGTTGTTAGAATGCAGAGGCATTATTTAATTCCAAAATTGTGTTTCCCACTTTATGAATTTTTTATTTGATGGGATACAAACAAAAGATTTTTAAAGAATATATTTGTATTGATTTCAGAGAGGAAGGGAGAGGGAGAGGGAGAGGTAGAAATATCAATGATGAGAGAGAATCATTGATCTCTGCCCCTTGCACACCCCCTACTGGGAATTGAGACTGAAAACGAGGAAATGTGCCCTGACCAGTAATCGAACGGTGACCTCCTGGTTCATATGTTGATGCTCTACCACTGACCCACCCCAGCGGGACAAGATTTTTTTTAGTTGCCAATATTCAACTGTTTTTGACCTACAAAAATGGATATTTCATATGTTCCAACCCAGTACTTTTTCTCTATTCCTTCCTGCCAACTGTGCTCTTTTGAAGCTCCCTTCCTTACTTTATAGTGCCTTGTCTGTCAAAGTGTGGTCCTGGAATCAGAAGCATCCCCCGGGAGCTTGTTAGAAATTCAGAATCTCTGGCCCCATCCTACATTCACTGAGTTGGAAATGTTGTTTTAATGAGATCCTTAGGTGATTAAGCAGCATGGAGTAGCAAATTCCTTAAAGACATCTTGAATATATTCTTTAATCTTTTCCTCCACACTCTTGGTTATTAAAAGTGTGTCTCATTTGCCTTAGTTGATGTGGCTCAGTGGTTAGAGTGTTGGCCTGCAGACTGAAGGGTCCCTGGTTCGATTCCAGTAAAGGACACATACCTGGGTTGCAGGCTTGATTCCTGTCCCTGGCCAGGAAGCACGTGGGAGGCAATCAATCGATGTGTCTCTCGCACATCCATGTTTCTCTCTCTCTCTGTCTCCCTCTGTCCCTTCCACTCTCTCTAAAAATCAATGGAAAAATATCCTTGGGTGAGGATTAACAAAAAATAAAAGTATGTTTGGTTTAAAATCCAATCTCAGTTCCAAGGCAAGTGTTCTCTGACTGAACTGTGACTCGGGAACTCTGAAGATAGAAGGTGGGGTTTGTTTTTAATCAATTACTTCCTCCTCTTTTCAAGGCCCTTTCTCTCTGGTGTGGTGTGGGGTGGGGACTGGAAGGGAAATTGGGAAGACAGGGATACATTTTTCTCTGCTGGATAAGTACTATCCATGTTGCATCTAAATGGTCACGCATTAATGGGCACAAGAGTTCTAGAAACTGAGGCAGGCTCTGCCCTGCATGGTTCTTTGACATGGGAGATCAGCCTAGCCTGCAGCTCTCTCTCTTTCAGTCTCTCTCATTTCCCCCTTTCAGACATATATCCAGACTCTTGCTGCTAGAATTTCTTTCCCCTTGGGTGTCAAACCTGGATGTCGATTTCTACACAGCATCAGTGGACCCAGGAGAAACATACACATTCTTGCCATGCCAAATTATAGGAGTGTACATTGCTTTACTCAACCTATACCTAAAGGTGTGGGTTTATTTCTGGGCCCTCTATTCTGTTCCATTGATCTATATGTCTGTTTTTATGCCAGTACCATGCTGTTTTGATTATTATGGCCTTGCAATATAGTTCGATATCAGGTAGTGTGATTCCTCCAACTTTGTTCTTTTTCAAGATCGCTGTTGCTACTTGAGATCTTTTGAATTTTTGGAATATTTGTTCTAGTTCTGTGATATATGCCATTGGTTTCTTGATAGAAATTGCATTGAATCTGTAAATTGCTTTGGGTAGTATGGACATTTTAATGATGTTAATTCTTCCTATCCATGAGTACAGTATATGCTTCCACTTTTTGTATCTTCTTCAATTTCTTTCTTCAGTGTCATATAATTTTCCAATTACAGGTCTTGTACATCTTTGGTTAAATTTTTTCTTAGTTATTTTTTCTTTTTTAAAGCAATTGTTAATGGAATTGGTTGTTGTTGTTTTAGTTTACTTTTCTGATAGTTCATTATTATTGTATAAAAATGCAACTAATTTCTGAATATTTATTTTGTATCCAGCTACTTTACTGAATTCATTGATCAGTTCTAGTAGTGTTTTTGGTAGAATCTTTAGGGTTCTCATACACAGTATCATGTCATTTGCAAATAATGACAATTTTACTTCTTCCTTTTTAACTTGGTTGCTTTTTGTTTCTTCTTCTTGTCTGATTGCTGTGGCTAGGACTTCCAGTGCTGTGTTGAATAAGAGTGACGAAAGCAGACATCCCTGTCTTGTTCCCGATCTTAAGTGGAACGCTTGTAGTTTTTGCCCATTGAGTATGATGTTGGCTGTGGGTTTGTCATTATGTTGATCCCTCTGTTTCCACTTGGCTGAAAGTTTTTATAAAAAATGGGTATCGGCCGAAACCGGTTTGGCTCAGTGGATAGAGCGTCGGCCTGTGGACTGGAAGGTCCCAAAGCATCGACAGCCCAGATCAGGAAATTCAGAGAAAGAAATGGATTGACCACATGAATGTTGAGAATACTGCGTTCTTTCCCATAGAGGCTTGCTCCCCAGGGTGCAGGTGTACAGGGTAGTTAGAAGATCCAGCTCCCTGGGTATATGGCCTTTATTATGTTGAGATATGAGCCCTCTATGCCCACTTTGCTTAGAGTTTTTATCGTATATGGGTGCTGGATTTTATAAAATGCTTTTCCTGCATATATTGATATGATCATGTGGTTTTTATCCTTCATTTTGTTTATGTGATGTATCATGTTTATTGTTTTGTGGATATTGTACCAACCTTGCATCCTCGGAATAAATCCCACTTGATCGTGGTGTATTATCTTTTTAATGTATGGCTACTTTGCTAATATTTTGTTGAGGATTTTAGCATCTATATTTATTAGGGATACTGGCCTATAATTTTTTTTCTTTGTTGTGTCTGCATCTGGTTTTGGAATTAGGATAATGTTGGCCTAGTAAAATGATCTTGGGAGTCTTCCCTCCTCTTGAAATTTTTGGAACAGTTTGAAAATGTTTGGTAAAAATAACCTGTAAAGCCATCTGGTCCAGGGCTTTTATTTGTTGGCAGTTTTTTTTATTACTGCCTCAATTTCACTGGTTGTAATCTGTCTGTTCAGATTCTCTGATTCTGCCTGATGTAGTTTTGGAAGATTGTATGTTTCTAGGAATTTATCCATTTTGTCCACATTGCCAACTTATTAGCATATAGTTGTTAATAACATTTTCTTACAATAGTTTGTATTTCTTTGGTGTCAGT